CAGAAGGTCCAGGATATTGAATCTCAGTAGACCACCCTGTTTGAGTATTCATCTTTGAACCAATCATGATAGCCACACGGACAGAATAGGCTGGTCAGGTGGGCTTCTGATATTCAGGCACATGAAGCTGGTGCACATAGAAGGGTGCCCCACCCCAACCACCTAAATTCAGGTTCTCCCAGGGCAAATGGAGGTGCTGTTAGCAAAGGAAGAGGGGATGGAAGCTATGTATGCACAGGCAGTGGCTGTGTACAGGGTTAGTCTGTATCTATCTGTCAGTCACCCGTGAACCTTTTGTGCATTCCCAGGATTTTGGAAGCAAAGAAACTGCCTGTCTTAGCTCATTTTCAGTTGTTACAACAGAACACCCAAGACTGGATTGCTTTGCAAGCTCACTGTTCTGAGACTCCAAGAAGGTGGTATTGGCAACTGCTTGGCTTCCGGTGAGGCCCTTATGCTGCAGGTGCAAGAGGAAGAGACACACACGTGTGGGTTCACGAATCCAGTCCTACTACAGGCATGAATCCCTCTTCACCACCTATTCACTTTTGAAAGGCCAAGTGTCCTGGCACCTCCACAGTGGCAATCCAATCTCAACAGGAGGGAGTGGGCATGTAGTCCAGTGGTTAAAAAGCTGATTAAGATGCTCACATGTCATATGGCTTGGATGTCCAGCTCCGGCTCCTGACACCAGCTTCCTGCTCTGGTAGACCCCTGGAGGCAGTGATGACTGCTCTAGTAACTGAGTTCCTGCCAATGACTAGTTCCTGGATGGAGTTTCAAGTGCCCAACTTGGAGAAGCCCAACCCTAGCCATCACAGGCATTTGGGAATTGAAGCAGGACCAGAGTTGTTCTTCTTTCTGCCTAGCTCTCTTTGTTCTGCTAATTAATTAATAATAATAACAAAGAAACCCGGCATGCATTTCAGAGGGGACAAGCAACACACAAACCATAGTGTTGTCCACAACACAGATTTCTCAGCCTTTTTGGAAAACAGATGATGTCTTAAACAAGAGCCATTATATTGCTGAAGGAAACTGCTGAGGGCTTTATCTTCGGATTTCCATTTCTATGCACCACACTTTGACTCTAAATGCAGATTTTATATGTTTAAATTGGGTAGCTCTGTATCTAACTTCCTGCTCGATGACTATACATTCTCCAGAGACCAGAATGAGGTAAAAGAAAAAGAAATTAGTGGGTGCTATTCCAGAGATGGCGTGGCTCAGGGATGAGCAGAAAAAGGCAGAAACAAACAGAAAACAACCCATGATTACTCACAGTACAGATAGCCACAAACAATAAGCCTTTATGGGGCTCAAATTATGGAATATTTATAGATTGGTTCGTTGAGTTTGCCACTGTAGATGAGTTTTATTTCCCTTGATTCTTTCTGCTGCAGTGAGAAACCCTTTCCGTCTTACAATGCAAATGGACTCACCTCTGCCTTTACTGACCTTTTCATAACAGGGCCCAGGCAGCTGGAAGTGAGTGAAAGGACCTGGTAGTGAATGCTCCAAGGGGACAGAAATGTAAAAGGTCTGACTGTGAGTCAACCACAGCACAATTACTTTGTTGAAGTTCAAAATGTAAAAGTGATATTTTTTAAATCTTAAATTGTATTCTCCAACAAGGAAAGGAACATCCCTTGCTGAGGGCCCCGGTGTGACGGGACAATGGCTTAAAGCCTCACCTTGCAAGCACTGAGATCCTATATAGGCACAGATTCGTGTCCCAGCTGCTCCACTTCCCATCAGCTCCATGTTTGGGGCCTGGGAAAGCAGTAGAGGACGGCCCAAAGCCTGGGGGCCTGCATCTGTGTAGGAGACCTGGAAAAACTTCCTGGCTCCTGGCTTCAGATTAGCTCAGCTCTGGCTGTTGCAGCCACTTGGGGAGTGAACCAGCAGATAGGAGAGCATTCGGTGTCTCTCCTTCTTTCAGTAAATCTATCTGCCTTCCCAAAAAAAAGAAGAGAAAAGAAAAAAAAAATTGCTATAGATTCTAAATGTGCAGGTCAGTCACATTGAAATATCTAGAGCATCATTTATGGTCCATGGAAACTAATTCAGATATTTTGCAGTGAATCATGGAATAATTAAATTTGAATTTGATTTCATTTAAAACATATTCATTTTAGAGGGAGACTGACAGAAAGTCGGTGCACTGGTTTACTCCCCAAATGCCGGACACAGGTGGCGTTGAACTGCTGGAGCCAGGAACGGGGAATCAGTCCATGTCTCCCATTGGGTGGTGGGAACTCAGTTGCTTAAGCCTTTCCCAGGGCTCCTCAGGGTCTGTAAGGTGGAAAGCTCGAATCCAGAGCCAGAGCACCAAACCTAGGCACTCTGACACTGAAATCTTAACCACTAGATCAAATGTCTACACCAAGAACAATTTTCCTTTGAAAAGAGGAACAAACTTCCAAGCCATCTTGCCTAAGTTCTGCATTTACAAATGTGGAAACGATGTGGCCATATGGCGAGAAATGACTCACTTCAGGTGCACTTACAGCGAGTTGGATTTGCGATTTGCATTAACATTCTTTCCTATAATTGCGGATTACAAGCTCTCAGTGTTAACTTGACGGAGGGTAGACCTATGGAACCAGATTATTTTTTTTCACAGCTCTCTTGTAGTGTGGATGTAATTAGTCATTAATTGTAAAGTTTGTGGATAATGAGGACTGAACTTGTTGCTTTCCTTCGTTATACTCAACACAACATATTTTTTTTTTTAAAAGAATTGAACCAGGAATGCAGGAAGAATAGGGCTGCCCATCAATTTTTGAAAGTTATTTATTTTGATGGACAAATAGAAATTGTATGTAATTATGTGCTTTATCACATACTTTTTTGATGCTGCAAACACTTCAAATATACTCTTTGCAATTTTCAAAAAATATACTCTCTCTCTCTCTATATATATATATAGCTATTAGCTGTGTTCTCAACATTGTACACTAGTTCTCTTGAGGTTGTTTTTCCTAATTGAAATTTTGCATTCTTTAAACATCTCACCATAAAAAGCATAGGTTTAATTTTTTTCTTTGAATTTAGCTACTTGATCAGTGAAGAGAAGGGAAGGGGGTTGGGGGAAGGAGGAAGAGAGGAGGAAGAAAGGAGGGATGGCTGAGCAGAGAGACAATGCCTGTCGGAGCTCCTAGCTGCTGGTTCATGCTGTGTGAACCGGTATCAGTTCCAACAGCAGAAACTGGGCCAGACCGAAGCCACCAGCTGGAAACTCAATCCAGGTCTCCCACATGCATGGTCAGAGCCCAAATATTTGCTGCCTCCCAGGACCTGAGGCAGCTGGAGGCAGAAAGAGAACTGGACTGAGCCAGGCACTCCCACATGGGACCTGTGCACCTTCAAGGCTGGGTAATTGCCTGCTTCTAAATAGATTTTTGAGGGGTTAAAAAAAAAAGTCACAGATTAAATCAGTGTTTTGCAACTGGTTGGGGAAGCGGGGAGGGAGCAGATATTGTTCCTCAGGAGACATTAGGCAACGTCTAGCGACATTTTTGCTTACCATAACTGGGGAGGGGGAGGTTACTATTGCCAAACTTCCTGCATTGCTCAAGTGAGTCCCACAGCAAGGGATTAACTGATCCTAAACATCAATAATGGCAAGGTTGAGGAAACCTGCTTCAAACAAACTCTGCTTTCTTCAGGCAAAGCCCCCATATAAAACAGTAAGCCATGTCTTTTTACTTAACTCGTTGAGTATTCCTTTATGCAAATATCGTAACACCCTGATTGTCTAGGAAGAAGCTCGTTTCAGAAACCTCCTTGCTGCATTTTCAGCGTTCCTCGCTTCGGACTCCTGGGAAATGGGGGAAAGATGCTTCTCTCTAAATCCGACCCTTCCTCCAAGGCTTGGGAGCTGCCCAAAGTGAGGGAAAAGACCACGGACTCGGTTAACCACAAGAAACACTGTTTTCTTTACATAGAAGCCACTGGAGGTGGCTGTCCAAAACTGGCTGGCTCTGCAATGCCACCAGAGGCTTCCTGGACTTGTAGTTCTTGTGCAGGCCCCTCATGGTGACCTGATGGTCATCCCATCATAGGCACTGGGTCCATATTTAGCAGAGGGGAGAAGAAGGACCAAGTGTATCTGCAGATTGAGAGAGGATTTGCTTCTGGCAGGTACCCCAATTTGGTGCCCACCTGCTAGACTGAAAGGCTGCTGTACTTTGCTTATTTCCTTAGCAGCATTTCTTGCTTTTGGTAATGGCAAAGGTACTGGTTAATTTTAGCTGTCTACTTGACTGGGTTAAAAGATGCCCAGAGAGCTGACAAACATTATTTCTGAGTGTGTCTGTGAAGGTGTTTCTGGAAACACCTTTGGATCCCTAGACTGAGTAAAGAAGCACACCCTCACTGGGATGGGACAAACAGCATAGGGAGGTACAGGAAGAGTGAATTTGCACATTGTTCAAGCTGGGACATCAACTTCTCCTGCCCTTGGCCATCAGTACTGCTGGTCCTCAGGCTTTCAGACTGGAACGGCGACTGACACCATTGGCTGCCCTGGTTCTCAGAGCTTTGGATGGCTACTAACCACTGGCTCTCTGGGCTTCAGCTTGCAGAGTATGGCATTTAGTCTGTATGAGGACATAGGCAAGCTTCTCATCATAAGTGTCTTTCTGTCCAAAGTCTCATCATATAGCTCACGGGAAATGCAGTATGGGACAAAATATTTTGGTCCAAGCAATTTGAAGGGCTGGCGCTGCGGTAAGAGCAAGTTAAGCTGCCACTTGCAATGCTGGGATCCCACAGAGAGGCTGGTTCATGTCCCTGTTGCTCCACTTTGGATTTAGCTCCCTGCTAATGGCCTAGAGAAAGCAGCCACAGATGGGCAAAACTTGGGTCAGGTCAATCCACACAGGAGACTTGTGTGAAATTTCTGGCTCCAAGCTTTGGCCTGATCCAGTCCCTGCTGTTGTGGCCATTTGGGTAATGAACCAGAGAAAGAAAGAGGGACAATTAATCTGAAAATATTTGAAATCCATGTAATTTTTTCACAATAAACTTCATAAACTTTTTGAAGACTCCCTTAAATGCATGGATTTATCGTTTTTCTTTGCACCACAATAAGCCCCAGTTTTAACTTCACTTTCTCATGGACATTGTAAGGTTCTCTTGCAGCCCTCTCTCATGTTCCCGTGGTACTGTTTTTCTGGAGAATTCTGGCCAGTGCAACACACTGTTGCACCTGCTCATGATGATCATCACTGCTCCCCCAGGTACCTTAGTAACCCCTTCATCATTTCTGTGCTCCCCTCCCTTGGTGGCCTGCATGATTGCTGCCAGCAGTACACACCAGGCCAGGACTGCTCCCTGGCTCCTGGAGGAGTTTCTGTCGGAAAGTGCCTCCTGGCTGTCTGGGCATTTTCATTCCCTTGGGGTAGCCTATAGTCCATACCCAGCCAACCCAGGAGGGAGCAAGCCTGACTTCCTTACTGCAGGTCAGGAGGATTCGGAGGTGCAGTTTCCACTCCTGGGATCTCCATAAGATTGGACTGAGCCTGATGTTGTACTGAGAGCACCACCTAGCTTTGCTTCTCCCCCTTGATTTGCCATGCGCCCACCCCCATGGCTTCACATCCCCTTCCCAGTGTCACCCAGGAATGCTGCATTTATCATTGTTCCCAAGAGTCTTTGCTTCTGGAGAAAAGACCACAGCCATTCACCCAGAGCCTAGCCTTAAGCTCTGCACCTGTAGACATTTCAACTGTTTTCAAGATTGGTTAGAAGTATAAAATATCGATCTCAACTAACTGAACACTTGTACAGGAAAGACATGTTTGAATCTAGTCAAGTTCATATGATTCTGCACAAATCAACAACTCATTCTTCATATAAGTTTGATGTAACTGAATGGAATACAAACTCAAAATAACCTGTCAAGGTTGTATAGAAATCTCTACTTAAGATTTGAGGTCATGAGCCATTACAACAGGACAAAAATTAACTCCTTAAAATTAATTTGCTGGCATTTGATTGGGGAGATTCAGAGACAAATTTAAAAATATGAATCATTCTTAACGTAGGCTTTTACTCAAAATTCTGAATGCCTCACCTCACTGCATGCCACAAAAGCTCCGATTTGGAAAGTAGGCTAGCCATACTGGTGAAAGTAAAAGGTAGAGTTAAGATACTGCACATGCTAGCTTGAGGACTGAGAAGTGCTCATATACATGGGCAGCCTTAGTCTCCAACACATCTCTCCTGAGACCCAGAACACAAGGAGCCGCTTGCCACACCCATACAATGGGTGACTGTCCCCTAACTTGCTTCCCCATTCTAGGTGTTCTCAGACAGTCACTACTGCAGGTCAAGGTCCCTGACCCCTGATGGAGAGCCCGCCCCCAAAGCAGGAACTTGAAGAAAAGGAGCCTGTGATTGGCTGAGGACAGTGAGTGAATTTGCCCTCCCCCTACTGTTTCCTATCATAACCCACTCTGGGCTTTATATTCTGCCTCCTCAAGTCCAAATTTTAGCTCTGCCATTTTCAAGCTGTGTGACCTTAAGTAGCACCCCCAACTCAAGCCTCAGTTCCTGATGTAGAGAATTCCGTTTCCCTGAGGGCAAAGGCCTTGGTTTTTTCTGGACATTGTTGGATTTGCAGCTGGGAGGCAGTGACGGAAGTGCAGCAGAAGCTCACCAAGTATTTATAGATGAAGTGAATAAGGGTGCCTGTGAAGGGTGAGGAAACGCTGAGTGGAAAGGACACAGCACAAGGCAATCACTTGGTAAATAGTAGCTGTATAGACGTATAAAATATAGACAAATATATAATTATATTTTTTACATCTGGCAACATGGCTTCTAACCACAATACCATGTGTTGGAATTTATCCTCTTGATTAGCAGACACATCTCCATATTTTCCAAACAGCAATAGGACATGTGTTGACCATTTCAGCTTACCCAATCAGCCACAATTCACCCCCCACTTTTCATACTAATGGAACTCAGATTCTGATCAAGTAATCACTGTTCCATGTGTCCCTTGACTTAGGAGAATGTGACTCAAAGCTGGACTCCAGGAGTGGATCCTGAACAGCCTAAATCAATCAACTCAAGCCATTCTGCCCTATGCCCAAGATTATAACTGGTCACATAACTAACGGAGGTCCGATCAAAATGAAGGCAATATACATTCCACATTTGGGGACATGGCTTGGCCTCCTTTTAGCAGGTGCTTGAAACAAAGAGGCATGCAGCTCAGGATCCTGTAATCAGGAGACAGCCCAGAGAACTAGCATGAGAAAGAGCAGAGGTGTGGAAACAGCCAGGTACTGGAAGGAGTCCTTGAGCTACTGAAGTGTTCTACTTGTTCCAGTTATGTAAGACATCACATTTCTTTGTTGCCTTTGGCATTGAGGATGGGTCTCCCCATCCTTCCTGATGATGCCCTCTTCCTATGGTGATGATGGTGGATAATGCTCACTGATGTCCATGTGCTGAATAGTATGCCAAGCCATTTGACCCAACAGTATGACTGACTTTTCATAATTCTGTGAGGTGGAGATTGTCATGTACTTCACTTTTCAAATGCAAAGAAAGCACACTTAGGTGTGTGTCCAGGTCACCATGCTCACATATTACAAGGATTGTCAGTGGAAGAGCTGGGATTTAATTATAGGCAGTCTGATTTTGAAGTCATCCTTACACCTTAGTCATTAACCTTAATCATTAAACTATATTTAATAACATTTATTTCTGTGAAGATTCACAACAAAAAGAAGAATGCAATATACTTCCCTTTCAAAATATAAGGGTTCTGCACATAGTTTTATGAAAAAAAAAACTATGTATGGATTTTTGAACTTGGTACCAAAATAGATTTCTTTTTCAGTTCCATTTTTTATGAGCTGTTTGAAGTACTATTGTATACAGAAGAGCCTGTAGTAGAATTTCCTGGATGGGGCATTTTTTTTTTTTCATAAAACTTGTCCTCTTTGGAAGACATGTTCCCTCAATATGATTATCCTTCAAATATTCATTGGGCCATTCAGTGTCAGTACTGAGCCAGTTGCTAGAGGAACAGCCTTGAGTGACTTCTGGTCTGATGGAAAGGACACACTCACGCACCTGCCCCAGAATAAGTTCTCACAGTACACAGCACAGTGTGCCATGGAGCATCTAAACCTAGGACCGGAATGAGTTAGGTACAATAAGGCAAAAGGACTCTGCAGATGAGCCTCAAAATGTGCTCATGACAGAGATTGAGAAATTTGTTCAAAGGCCTGAGAAGGAAAAAGGATTTGGCATGTCTGTGAACCTACAGGGTGTCAGCTAGGGAAGTGTTCAGTTGTACCAGGTAAGAGTGGTAAGCAGTGGTCTTCCTATCCGTAGTCTCTGGCAACTGGATCCTGGATGCAAGTACAGGGTTAAAAAGGCAAGTTCAAAAGTGGTAAGGCTGATAAAGGAGCAAAAGCTGCAAAGAAACTAGAGGACAATGCTGGGGTGGCCACTGTGTTAACAAAGAGCTGAAGAGAGGTCTGGCAGATACTCCAGTAGCCAGTCTGCATGGTGAGTGAGATTTCTCTACAGGAGGTGTCAGGGAAACCTTCTTGCATAAGAATCTGGGAAAGTAGAGTGAGGGGATTCAATTTTCCAGCTTCTTCCCACTTGCTGTGGCCATCCATGCGTGCAGACTTAACTGTTTCAGCCTGCTGGGTTGTACCATCTAGTCCCTGGGAACCACCAGCCAGACAGATCTTAGGCCCACGCTGAGGGATGACTCAGACAAGTTGGTCTGAAGGTCAACTTGGGCCTCAGCCAGCTTGGGGATATGTTAAAGTCAAGTTGAGCTTCTTCTTTTTTAAAGAAGTGGTTATTTATTTTACACACACACACACACACACACACACACACACACACACACACACACACACACACGTCATCCACTGGTTTGCTGACCAAGTGGTTATAATATGCCAGGGCTAGATCAGGCTGAGGCCTGGACCAGAAACTCCATCCAGGTCTCCTGACTCAAGCAGTTGAGCCATCATCTTCAGCTTCCCAGGTGCATGAACAGGGAGCTGGATCAGAAGGCAAGCAGCAGGGCCTCACTTAGTACTCCCAAATGGGATGCACAATTCCTGGAGGTTGCATCACAATGTTAGCTCCACAACTGAGCTGTTTAAAAAAGTAGGGAGTTGACAGAATCTGCAAAGATGCATAAATTTGTGTCCAACACAGTCTTGTTCCTGGGAGATGCTGTAAGGAGTTTCAGGCCTCAGGCAGCCCCAGTCAAGGAAGGAACTGAGCACTGTACTCCTGGCTACAGTGTGGAGGGCCACTTAGGAAGTGTTGGTTCCACTGCAGCTTGGTATAAGGACGTGGGAATTGGGGTGAAGTCAGTCAGATGGATCTGAGCAGACATAAAAAAAAAAGTCACTCCAATTGTCCTTAGGAGTTTTTTGGGGGTGGCGGGGTGGTAGGGTAAGGGAACAGAAGATGGCATGCAGCTTTCTGGCTCTGGCAGCTGAGGAGGCAGACAACAGTGCAACTTGCCAAGGTGGGCAAAGGCTAGATAGGAAGAGGTTGGAGATGGAAGGAAGCAGGATGGTGAATTCAACATTGCACACATCATATTTCAGCAGCCTGAGGCATTTCAAGTAAAAGTGCCCTAAGCAGTCAGTAAGAGTAGCTGGAGTTGGGGAACAATGTCTCAGCTGGGGATGTAGATTTCTGAGTCCCTGCAGTACTTACTAAAGCAAGTATGGCTGTGGATAGGTGCCAGTGTGTAGGGCATGGAAGGCTCAAACAATAGGATGCTCAAGGGTCGCTTGAGAAAGCATGGCCAAGAGAGTACCCCAGGGCAGGGGCATTCTTCAAGGAAACAGGACTGAGTGGAGCTTCAGATGCTACCAAGCAGTGACACCAGGAAAGAATTAAAAGTGGTTAGTGGATTGGGAGACAAGGGGTCATTGGTTCTCTGATTGAAGTAATGTCTTTGACTGGACTGAATTCAGGTGGTTAGTAGATAAACCATCGGTAATTCACTCCACAAATGCCCTCAATTGTCAGAGCATGCCAGGCCAAACTCAGGAGCCAAGGGCTCCATCAGGTCTTCCATGTGGGTGGTGGGAACCCAAGTACTTGGGCTGCCATTTCCTGCCTTCCCATATGCACCAGCAGGAAGCTGGACTGGAAGCAGCAGAGCGAAGACTTGAACCAGACACTCCAATACAGCTTGCACATGTCCCAAGCAGTTGCTTAACCTGCTGCACTAGAATGCCCGCCCCCCCGAACCTGAACCTTGTGGCTTCAATGAGTGTTATTTACAGACATAGAACAATGAATGTCTCTTACTTTGCAGGAACATTGTTCTAGAACATTGTTCTTCATAGTGCCCCTGGAGATGAGGAAGGAATGGATATCATGTAAAGGATATTGATAGTGTAGAAAAGCAAAACTCACAGAATCACCAGTTACGAGAAATTCACGTGCTCTGGAATAGGTTTCTCGAATCTAGGTGTTAAATGGCAAATAGTAGTATTCTCGAATGTTCTCAGTGGCTAACTAGTCAGCTCAGGGTAAAATAGGCAGCAGACACAAGTGTACAAGTATACTCCAACCACGCTTGATTTTCCTTAAATAAAAAGCTGAGAACTGGCTCTGTAGAATAACCCCCAGCATGGCAGGAGAGATTTCTAATACACTGGCAGTAACAACCCTGAACTCTAAGCAAAATGCTCTGGGGATTGAAACAAGCAAGCCAACCTGGGAAAGTAGTCAAAACTTAGCAGAGGTGTCATCAGAGCAAGAACTTCCCATTTTCATGGATTCATTCTGAAATCAGAGGCAGTGTACCATGCATGGACAAAAACTCCATTAGAAAATCAGCTTTGTTTTTGGCTTAAACAACCAGACGTTCTGGGGAAGCCACCATTGCCATTAAAGTAAAACAAGAATTCAGGAATGAACAGGGCCAGAGCAGAGGAGACCCAGTGTCTGTGTCAGCTTTCCACATCTCTGACTCTTGGATGATGCACACCTGGGGAAGACTCAAAGCTAAGAGAACGGAGTTGAGATGTGAGTGGATGCCTTTCACAGCAATGTGAAATTCCCAATTTGAGTCTGTGCAAGTCAGTTGCCTGTTAAAAGAATGCCAGCAACGATCTTTACAAGAATCTAACAGAACCCACAACATAACCACAGAGAAACCAGATCATGTAAAATAGAGGAACACAACGTGGTTAGGAGGATAGAAAAATGACAGAGGATTAAAATGTAATCACGGTGATAATTACATTAAATAGTAACATGGCTGCTATGATGTCAGAGGGAACAGAACAACTGCTGAAGTGTGTGCTGGATCTTAAGGGGCTGCTCCAAAGGGACAGTCATCATTCTCACCAGCCTTTGTAGACCAGGGCAAGTCACGTGGCTAATCCTGAC